GGATTTTTGGTCCGACCTCCAAGTTGGGTGGGTGAAAGGGAGATGCTGAAGGATCTCGACTGAGATTGGATTCGGTGTTTTTCGCACCCCTTAAACAGGCGGAACCTGCTCCGAACATGCCTTTTGTGCTGCAAAAACGCTCACAGAAGCTGGCGACGGACCCAGAACCGGACTCTGCAGGGCTCCAAGGGCCGTCAGGTCCGAGTCCCGAAGAGTTTACATCGCTCCAAAACCTCGTCCCAGCCGGACGATTCCTGCTTGGGACTGGGTTTCCAGGCACCCATAGCCCCCTACCATGTATGATTCATGCATGTCGGCAACTGTTTCCCATGCATCGTCTGAATGTGTATAATGTCTGAGCAGACCACAAGGTGATGAAAAACGTTGGGAACACCCACCAACCACGAAGAAAATGGTGCTCCTCCTGAACCCAAGAGTCTCCAAGACCCTGCAACATGTACTGACTTGTGCCAGATCAGGGAATGAGATGGAATGAGGAATTTCTATTGGGAGCTCATTCCCTTATGACTAAGCCCTATAAAATAAGATGAGGTGCTCCAAGGTCTTCGTCCCAGCCCGAGCTGAAACCAAAAGCTCCGGTCCACACGCACCGCGTTCCACGTGGACGTCGAAGGCTCCACCAAGCGGCATCATCAGATAGAGGAACTCAAAGAAATTGATATCTTCGCCTTGAAAGGGGCCTGGAATGTTCGCCACGAGCGCGACACGATGGCGGTGTTGGACCATGAAAGAAGAAACCCGTTGGACGGGGGGACGAGTTGGCAAGGCAGAGACGCGAATCGGTGCCTGGCTGTGTTCCGTGTCTTTTTCCGATCACGGGTTTCAGGGTCTCCCAAAGGCTTGAGGTCTCCGTAGGTCACGCTTCTTTCGCCGCTACAGGTTGAAACAGGTTTTGACCCATTCCCACATGTCCCGAACCCCATTTCAATCGATTTCTTTCGCGTTCCGCGCGGGCGAGGGCACCCGCAAAGTCCAACTGCCGCATAGACTTTCGCCAGCCGCGAGGCCTGGAAAACGCCACGAAGAGGCACAGAGGTGCGGCCAAACCCATGACCATTCACAGGACTGGAATATGACTCCCAAACAGTTGGGGTTGAAATGGGGTCCTATGGAATATGTATACCCAGACACGACTAATGGGACTGCCATATTTGCCGATCAGGCCAGGGGTGGTTCCAGGGGTCAATGGGGCGGCATATATGCCATACATGGAGTGTCTGGGATATGTGGAATATGTACCTACATTGACCCTGAAAGCATCTTTAAAATCCCTCGATTGTTGTTGCCCTGGACCGGACCTGCTGTTTCACGCAACCAAACATGCATGACCTTAAGAAAAAAAAACATCCGCAATGGAAGTATTGTGTTTCTTTAAAGGGATCCGAAGCACATGGATGGATGACTTGTTGTTTGCTCCATTCGCTTTCGGCTGCGGCTTCCACAACTGGTTGTTTTCATTGAAAGGAGGAGGTCGTGGGAGCGGGAAGATCAGCCAGCTGATAGCCAGCTAAGGTATACAGTAAAATAGTAAAGCCTTGGGCGTGTGAAATGGGTCAAAAGGTGTTGCATGGTTTTGCTGCTTCAAGAAACTAGACGAATAAAGCTCTGACCATGCAGGTAAGGAAAGAACACATATTCCAAACCAGGAGGTGCTAGCTAAGAGGAGTGCAGCATCACAGTGTGCAACTGCAAGATTCATCAAGATTCTCTCATAAACCAGATTTGGCCCGCGGCTCTTGGCTTGATGTTCAATTTTATCTGTTGGGTGTGTCTTAGATTTCCTCGGATTTTCTCAATTCAACCCCAAAGATCGAGCAAAAATGCATTGAAACCCCATCAAGTCATATCAAGTCTCCCCCATGTTCACACCCTCTTTCACTGTTTTTCTTCAAAACACACCTGGTGCTTTTTGATCCTGGACACAATCCGCACAGCCGGGGCCTGGCGACCTTCTGCAGTCTCTTCCATCCAGCCTTAGGGCGAAATGACCTCTCCCACCCTCTGGAAGCCTAGAGGTCCGCATTGTTTAACCCAAACACTCCATGTATGCCATATTTACCTACATTGGGGTGGTTTCAGGGTCAGTGTATGTAAATATGCCAGTCCCATGGAGTGTTTGGGTAAGTTCTTTACGTTCAATGCTCACGTGTTGAGCTTTTGGGGTGAGACCTCCAAAATGGGTTCGGATTCGATCATAGTTTTGGCGGGACGTATGAGCGACGGTCAAAGTTTGTTGAGCTGCCGTGAGTGCACTATCGCTTTTTGCTCACATCCGTCATGTTATCGTCTTTTGCTTTTTGGTGAGTGTGTTATCGTTTTTAGCGCAACACATGCATTTTGAACTCCCATGGCCACTCACTGACTATTCCTCACTTTCAGTTGAACAGCGAAATGGCTTCTATCCAAAGGCAGAACGTGTTTTGAGGTGGATCAATGTTGAGCTGTGGGAACTGAGGCAGACCACTGGCACCCCCCCAAAACAATACAGGTCTTTCACCAGACGAGAGCGCGCCGAGCGCGCACCTGCAGGAAAAAGAAGACTAAAACGTATACGTACAGTGACTTGTCTGCACTCTGAGCCACTGGAACCACGTCTTCATATCATCGGAACCGCTTAGTCATCGGAACAGACGCTGCCGACTTGGTCAACTCCTCAACTCAGATGCAGCCTGCCCACCGCTCAGAAAGCCGCGTGCGTGTCGTGTCGACCCGGGCCCCGAAACCTCTGTTCTCATATCTTTTCCCAAACAAGAAAAAACCACCCTTTCTTCGGTTGGTTTTCGAAAAGAAAAGGGACCCCAACGCGTGCTGATTCAGCACTGCGAACGGAAAATCCCGGACTCCGCCGACTCCGCCGACTCCGCCGGACTCCCGCGGCAGCCGACTCCCGCGGGGGGTCCGCGCGCTTTGCACCGTGGCCGCGGTCAGCGACCGCTTGGGCTCCCTTGGAGGCTTCGTCCGCTTCGGCTCGACCGATGCGAGTCCGGTATACCCCGAGAGGTTCCATCTTCTGAAGTGGGACTGGGGCGGGTGCCATTGTCGGGTCCAGTCAGAGTACCACTGGAGTCGTCGGGATATATCTCTATAGATCTGCAGGAAAGATTATATGACTATTATTAGTTGTTCATATTAGTTCAAGTCAAGACGAACACTTAGAGCCCGCTACGATAGAGCAAATCTTGCCGTGCTGAGAACTGGGGCAAAACACGTGGCAAGCAAATCCTGCATGACATGTCAAGTTATGTCAAGTTGCACGACAGGTCACTGAGATCAAACGCATCTTCGAGAACCAGGCAGGTGTCTCATTCATTCGATCACTACTGATTCGCTCACTGAGGACCCGGTCAATCATCGGAACTTCACAGTATAAACGAAGCACACTGAGAGACAAGGAACTTCACAGGGGTCTCTTGAGTCTCGCACCAAACATGAGAAAAAACACAAAAACCACCCAATGGCCGGGCCGAGTGTCGGTCGAACAGGAGTTTGGGGCTTTGCACATACTTTGCACCAAAGAACGAGTTTCGTTCAGTCTTCAGATCTCTGATCCTTCTCTGGTCCTTTCCATCTCCCTCCCCTAGCCTTCTCTTCGACCATTGAGAAACATGATTGACCTGAAGGACCTATGATTGTGTTTAATTAGTGTATAATAATGCAAACACCATGGTTCCTCACTCTGTAAATTTAGATTATTTTGGTAATAATGTCAGCATATATGTTTATAATATGTTAATCAGGTGGGGCCAAGTTCATCCTGCTTTTCCCCCAGCCAACCCCCGATGTCCTCAAACTCGGGCCAAGTCCCCTCGCATCGTTTCACCTCCGCGTTGTGCCAAGCTGGCCAGGTAGCGGCCCTCGCGCATCAGGCTGGGCCTGAGGCAGTGGAATGGGGCCTCGATCACCGGTGGGTGGGACATACGTGAGCGGTGTGTGTCTCGGCCGAAGAACGGGCGCATGGATGCGTCTGGGTGGTCAGCGGGTGGTTCATGGACAATCCGAATACAATCGACTTAAGGGGCAGACTTATAGAGATTCCATACAAACGATACAAATGTCTTAAGGGGGTCCTGGGACTGCCATGCTTACATTGACCCCAGGTCAACCACCCCAATGTATGTAAAGATGCCAGTCCCATGGATTCTCTGGGCGTTGGTGAAGGAGTCCTTTTTGAGAAGCAACTGCCAACATGTTTTCCTTCCAAAAGCCTAGTTAGGGTCGGACCACGCGAACGGGTCGGGCCCTTTCTGAGCCAAATGGGGCTGGGAAGAACACCTTCGACATGTTGTACGGCGACACCCTCACTTCGCCGACATCCAGTGTGTCGACGCACACCCACCGGTGGATCCATCGGGATTTCGGAGGTGAGTTGGAATCCACCAGACCTTTTGGAGGCTCTTTTGCATGGGTACAGCGGAACTGAACCCATGTTGAAGTCCGTTCTTCCTCTGACCTGCTGATCTGCTTTGCCGGCGCCGACGCCCACGAACGGGCAAGTCTTGTTTTGGGGCACAGGTTGGCCAAGTCAGGTGGAACAGATCTTCGATCCACATCCATATGTTTTCCCGCCCGTCTTGAGCGGAGGACGTCTTCGATCCAAGCAGAAGGACATGGATTTCTTCCGCTGCGAGTCGCCCCAAAGGATGGTGAAGTAGCATAGCTAAGAGCACTTAGAGAGACTCCGCATATGATTGAGGGTATACGTCCTTTGTTGGGAAGATTCAGATGGATCTTCAACAACAACTGGAGCAGCACGGCATGATAACCAAGATGGTAGAGCATGGAATGCACAATAATTGTACAACGTATTTCACCGAGTACCCAGGAAGACTCTGGCAACAGAGTCTGGAGCTGTTGTGCCACTGGCCCCTACAAAAGAAGACACCTCAACCTGATATGTTTAAATCACAGGGGAAATCATCACCAATCAGTCATGTGCATGTCAAAATCCGTCACAGTTAGAGTAAAAACACCATGCATCTCTGGCTTCCTGACTTCTACAACACCACCATGCCACATGTTCGATCTGTACGTTGAAGGTTCTTTTCAGAACGTTTACAATGTCTTAAAGGCTCTAAGGCTGCATTTGGCTGCCTTGTGCAGACGTTGAACACACTATCACAGGGTCTGGGGTCTGCCACCGGGCGAAGCGCATCCGAGCGGTGGCTCGTCAGGGCTGTGGCAACAAAAGCTCCGTGTCGGAATGAAGATCATGGCGCCGGTAGCGGTTCGGCAGGCCTTGGAGAACGGGGCAAGTGAGGGCAAACCCCCAAATCGAATGGCTCCAATGAAAAATCGATGTTCGATGGCTCGTAAGAAAATATAGATCAAATACCTAAGACTTCGGTTCGGGGTAGGATGGGCTCCTTTTTCCATGACTCCGGATGGAACGAAATGTGACAGATGTTTCTCGACCCCACTTGGAAGATCGTGTTACACCATCTTCCCCTCCACTGGCACCCTCTGAGGGTACGGTCGAGCAGTTGAGGACGGAGACTCTTTGAAGGCTCCGATCACCGTACCGCTACGGTGGGCACATCCGATCCGGTCCCTGCGTATCGATCCCATCGATCCCGAAAACCCTCTTTGGCTAAGCTGGTTGTCGCTCTTTCGGGCGAATCGCATGGCCCTGCGCTGTGGAAGGGACCATGGCTCCGCCCTGACGCCTCCACCGCTGCGACCGACCAGCGAGTGGTGCCACGTGCGCGTGCAGCGGGCCTGTCCCCCGTCGATCACCGTCGATCCGAAGGTCTACGCCACGGCACGGTCCAGATGAGGAGCGCCGAGGCCATTCGGCTTCAAAGGCAAACAGCTCTGGTACAAGGCGAAGAAGCTGAGTCCTGTGAGCCACAGAGTCCAGGGGGCAAAGACCCAATGGATGGCACAGGCACCTGCCAGGTCACCAAAACGTGGCGAGGGAACGAGGGAACGCCGTGATGGGAGCCATGATGGATGCTCTGAGTCGAAGTGACACGCGAACCTTAGACTGTTTACTATCCTAGACCCTCGTTAGACTCGTTAGGCAACAAGTTCTTAGTCAACGTTCATGTACAGAACATTCGACCATGTTCACCAAGAACGCCTATAGGTGCAGCCTCGATGGTCAAGGATGCCAATGCACAATATGGTAAGTATGTGTAAGAGACTAAAACTACAATGCAAAAAGCGTAGGACAACAAGCACTTGCCACTTGACGCTACTCCCCGTTTAAAGTAGCTACGGTTCATTTGTCCAGCCTATCTTAAGCCATCTTAAGCCACTGATTGTAGTCAGGGGGAACGGGTACGAAAGCCTAAGTAACAGGCAAGAACACCAAAGTGATGGAAGAATGCCTACGCAAAAAGTATTCAAACAATGCAACATGAACATATAGGAATACAAAATTGATCACTTCAAAATATCACTTAAAATGTACATCAAGCCTCTGGTTGTCGGGTGTGCATCTTCCCCTATAGGGCCTACCAGTAGCGGCTGGATCCTTATTGCTTATATAGCATTGCCCCACCAAGGACCAGAACACCTACGACAAGAACGCCTACTTGCACGAACAAAGGTGCCTTTACCTGCCGATCATAGGCAGAAATGTCTCCCCCAAATAGGAGGTATATGTTTGAAGTGAATATTCATATATAGGAACGTCTCCTGGCTTCTCCTTGTCTTGTGACCTTTGTGCATCCAATCCCCACCTTTCAAGTAGCACACCAGCGTGATCTCGACGGTCAGCATCGGCAAGAGGAAAGCGAGGATCGCCAGCAAGGTCGTGGTGGCATACTCCATCCAATCCCGACTGCCACGCCAACCCAACCTGCAGATCGATCCAACGTGTGCTGATCTCAACACTGTGTCTGGCCAGTTCTTTTGATGTGCGCTATCCCACTGAAGCAGGGAAGAAGATGTCTTGCGGGCATCAGAAACATGAAGTGCGACAGTACCGAAAAGAAAACAAGAAGTTGAGAGCGCCGCTTCTAGGAAGTGGAAGTTCCTAGTGCCCAGTGTCTGAAGTGCAAACACACACCCCGTACCCTTCAGATGTACTATATACATTTCCGGTTGAGTGGCACTTTGGGCTTCGCAGTGCTGTTCCTGGAGAGTTGTTATTCTTCACGAGGAAAAACAGGCACAAAAAAAAGAACGTACCTAGCGCTTCCAAGCGGTGCCCTGTCTGGAGACCTGTAAGTAGTGTGGAGATATCCAGCCAGGTGACCCCGAACGGAAGCAGCTGGAAGATATCGACCCACCTTTTTGACACGAACGAACCCTTGCAAGCCATCCCACTGCGGCCTCTGTTCAGGGGTGTGGAATTCCCCCCCACTGCGACCAAGCACGACGCAGGCCACGGGTCCACGACGAGTCTGGACTCGACAGGTCGGAGGGTTGGGCCTTAACAGCAACTCACCTGTGAAAGATGGTCGGGTGCTGGTATATCTACCCTCCCGGAAACCATCACCCATGTATGCCACATAGATGCATATATATATATATATACATATCTACATTGACCCCCCAAACCACCTCCATTGTAGGCATATCTTCTATAGTCACATGGAGCATCTGAAACCATGGTGACGTGGGAGTCTTTTCCCGAAGATGGAGAAATGCGCATGTTCCGACAGATTCCGAAGACCCCACCGACAGGCGGTGAACTCACTCCGCGTGAGGCTTGCGTCGGAGTGCTGTCACCTTCATGGGTAGGTGGCGCGAAAAACACCCCCATCCCATCCGCAGCGCTGAGCGGGAAACGATGTCATGGGAACAACGGTTGACCAAGACCTACCTGGAAACCTAGTTCCAACCAGAAAGAGATGGAACTCCCCAGTCCCTGCCACTTCCTATGTAAAGGATGTCAAGAAACCCATATTGGAACAACCATTTGATTCTGGATGGGACTAGGTTCCCAGGTATAAATCCACTGCTCCTTCCCAAGGCGGCCAACTTCTTTGTCTCAAAGACAAAAACCAGAGTATTATAGAATATATTTTATAATTATGGTATATTGTATATTGTTTCTTCTTTGTAGTCTGTTGTCTTTTTCACAATCCCTGACCCATTCCGTCATTCCGTCCAGGGTGCCAAAAGGAGGCGATGGTGAGGAAGCTGGAGAACAAGATCAGCATGCAAGTGACCAACAGCAGTGGCAACCTGCGCAGCTAATTAGTATATAATTAGGATACCAGGATAAGGACTAAATCTTTGGAGGTACAACCCTCATCTGCATAGGGACTTTGAGAATAGGTAGCAAGTGATGGCACCAAACAGAAGTTCGACGGTGAATGAACAGCTCCTCGGGGGCATGTGCTTACCTGGAAAATCTCTTTGCTTGGGATCGCAGTGCAATTTGCAGAGAACACCACGTTTTGATGATGGTCTCGCGAAGGCAAACGTTTCAGGCATACTCTTGACCTGGGGCAGGAGCCCTCCGGTGTCCCAAAATGACTCAGGGCTTTCAGGTTTAAGGCAGTAGATGTCCGTTCCAAAGGTGACGGTCATCGCTTCAACAAAAGGTGAGGACTCAGAAGGACTTGTATGTTCATTTCGAGCCCTGAAGAATTTCAGCAAATGATCTATCATGATCCATCTGATCTGTTTCTCCAAGAGTCTCGGACCCCCTTGCATGCTTGAACCTTTACTCGCCGAAAGCAGTCCCAAAAGGGTTGCAAAACATGGATTTGATGGTAAATCTTAGTGGGTTGGAGGCCATTGCACTTAGGTTGGAGATCAGGTTGGATGCCATCACTAGGAGGTTGGTAAATCTTAGGCCTTGAAACGAACAACATGGCTCTCGAGCCGAGTGACATCATCACCATGGGCGAGAGCCAGGGCCAAACAGTCAATCGACTGAAGAGAAGGGTACTGAAGGCCGCCAAAGGACACCACAAAAACAAGCAAGAACCGATACCTGGGGCCCGCGGAGGTGTATGCTGCGGAGGTTGCCAGCCCACGAAAATGAGTTCGGGTAAGACCTGGTTTTCTCGTGTCCAATCGTAAAAGCCATGGTTCTCAACAGGGTCAGGCATCCAAAACCCACGGCTGGGGGCCGGAATCTGATCCATTTCGTGGGGTCTTCGTTTTGGGGCTCGACCCGGCTGTCTTCGTTTTGGTGGCTGCGCCATACATGTTTTGAAGGATGAGACCTGCGACGTACTGCTGGTTGGAAGTCTGCTGGTCCGTACTGCTGGTCTGTTGGAACTGCACTTCCAAGTGTTCAAAACGAACATGCCGGTCGCGCTGTCCAAACCAGCGAGTAGCTTCCTGACATGTTCCTGACCGCATGTTTGGCCCAAGCAAACGTCTATAGGTCAGACCAACGAAAGACCCCGCTGTCGGGCTTGGGGAGACCCCCTCGCTCCGGTTCCCCCCGGTGGAGTGGAGATGGATATGCCCATACGCCGCGGGCGAACGCACCCGAACACAGCAAGCTCGCAGCAGCTATATAGACTCTGACATACTCTGACTCTTGATGCACCCTCCATAGGGCCAAGTCGTCCTCCGCAGATGTCCCAAAATCTGTGAAAAGGATGCGCAATTGTGACGTCCTGGTCTCAGGAGCGAATGACAGTCCCAAAAGAAGTGAGAGTCAGACTGACCCACTTTAGAAGATATCAAACCAGGGTTCGAAGGGTCAGGGTCCGGACTGAAGGGTGCAAGGGTTCTTTCAAGTCACATCCCAAGAAATCCTGGAGAACCAAGCCCAAACACTCCATGAGACTGCCGTATATGCTTATACCATTGGGGTGGTGCCTGAGGGGTCAATGTAAGCATCTATGACAGACATCGGTCGTGTCAGACATCTGTGGGTGCTTTCAAGATCACTCCCCGAACTAGAGTGCCAAGGCACAACTGGAGGAGCATTGCCGCCGCCGCAAGACACTAAAGGCGAAGCAGCCCGTACCCAGCCAGACCTGGGTGCTGTCGGAAATCCGAGATGTCTCTGTGGTACTTACACTCGCAATCATGGAACTGGATAGCATGGCCGCAATGTCCCCTGGAAAGACCATTTGAGACCTGACCAAACAGCAAAGTTGTCCACTTCCGGTTGAAGGGAGGATACTTAAGGGGAGAAGAACAGCGACCCGAGACCAAAACCTGTTACCCACACTCCGGCTTTGGCTCAACCTTCAAAACCATATCCCGAACACGACCAATGTCTGTCATATATATGCTTACATTGACCCCTCTGGCACCACCCCAATGTAGGTGAATACGGCAGTCCCATAGAGTGTTTGGGTATTGATCAATGGCTATTTCCGGTTAGTGAAGCCTCCAGATCACCCGAGCACGAAGGGTGCGACATGGAGGAAACACTGCGGCCCGGGCTCCACTTGCCTCCCAAGCGATGCGCTTCAACCTACTAGCGATGGCCAACCGAAGCAAAAGGACCCTATCCAGCCTACCCCTGCCAACGCCTGCTATCACTCATCGTCAAAAAAGATTTGACAGAAGAGTGATGTGGGTCAGAATCCCCATCCCTTAAAAATCACAGGGTGGTCTACCGGGTCTACCTGTGTCTACATGTGTCTACTATGTCTACATGTCGATCGAAATATTCTGAGTTCGGTGCATCAACGCCTGAACAGCCTGTCTCAGCGCTACTTGGACACTGCTGCGGGTTCCAATGCATCAGGTTTGACTCTATGATAGCTTCCCTCCTCCAAAAAGAACATAGCCGCATAGCCACACACTGAACCAACCAACGGAACTCCGGAACCAAGGGGCAGCTAGGAACGGTGGCAGCACGCGGAGGGAGGGCCACGGCACTGGCAAATCCTCCTCCAGCGTGGCCTTGGACGTCGTGCCGATCGCCGACCGGCCGAACCGCGCGAGTCGACTCGCTGCGCGACTCGCGCACAAAAGAAAAACAACACTCGTTTTGGGACGAAGAACACATGCGATTCATAGAAAAATGGCTGATGACATGTGAAATGCATGTGATTCAAACCCGGGTCAGGGCGGATCTACTTGATCCCTCCTTATTCTTGCGGCCGCCGGAAGGTGCCTCGCCGGGTCCACACCGTTACTTCCCGCCGTCGGTGGCGGAAGCGTCCGTCGATGACGGGACCTCTGAAGGGATGGTCCGGCGACTCGGTTTCCGGGTGACTGAGTGACCAAGTTTTCAATCGACCAGGTGGGACACCAGAAACCCAAAGCATCGGTCCTGTGTTTCACCCGGGAATCCCCCCAAAACCGCATCTCATCATACACGATGCTGTGCCCAATTCCGCCCCAAAGCCTGATACCGACCCCTGCAATGGAAAAAATCTGTCCGACGTGCGTTTTTGCGCTTCTCACGAGGGCTCTTCAAGCAATGGTGCTCGGGAAGCATAATGTGGTTCTTCTTTCATATCAGGTCCCTCCAACAGCTGAAATGCAGGCTCCAAAGCCGCAGGTGGTGACCCGTTTTGGGGTGAGGAGAACTCCTCCCTTTTCCCACGCGATCGAGCCAAGGCGGCCGCCAAGAGAGGAAGCGCCGCGCCAGCGAAGAAGAGCACCAAGAAGCCCTCGCAAGGCGAAGTGAAGAGAATGAACCATCCTTAGTGCCAGAAATCATCATCTAAGTCCAGCTTCCCTTCAATCTAAAAAGAGATCTGTTTTTTTGTTTAACAAATCTATACAAAAAAAACACGTGCGTGTTTAATTGTTTGTGAACATATGGTAGGTTTTCCTGTAGGTTTTCAAAAGCGATTCACGTCAAGATCAAATCCAGACTGTGCCGATCGATCCGAAGGATTCATTGGAAGATCCAATACTTTTTGCTCTGCCCAGAGGCTCATAGACCCTCAAACTGTTTGAGGTCCAAAACCCTGGCTGTGAGGGTCAAAACCCTGGCTATGAGGGTCCAATGAGCCTTTGGGTGAGAACAAGACCCAAACCCGTCTGGGACTGCCAGGACGGACTGCCGATCAATTGACCCCCCAGTCAACCACCACCCCTGGCCGTTTCTCGGCAGTCCTATGGCATAATTACATGGAGTGTATGGGAAAAGGATATTGCAAACGGCTACCGTTGCGGTAAAATCATTGGACATGTCGTTTTTCGCTGGTGACGCTATCGTCTAAGGAGACTATGATGTGAACCACAAGGGATGCAGGGACGCGTCCCTATAATTATAGATGTCCTGACAGCACTGCGTATAGTTTAAATCAATACATTGGATAGAATTCAAATCACCATTGATTTAGTCAATTCAACAGAAGGCGAACGAGCGATACACCGTGCTCGTCGCTCCCCAACTCGTGGTCCTCGTGGTCGCTCCTGAATTGGTCTGAAACGGGTTGCCGCCTGACCGAGTGACGGGTTGAGCCCTCAAAAAGACCAGAGCTTAAAGCCTTACAAGATACTGACATGACCGCACACCGGCCTTTGAAGAAGAGACTTTCACCAGAAAAGGTAGGAGTCGGCCTCCACGGGATGTTTGAGTGGATTTTTCGGTGTCAATCTGAGCGGCAAAGACACGTCGTGCGGGTCGTGGCGCGGCGCCGTTGCTGTTCCAAGCATCGTACGGTTCCTTGCAGCCGATTCCAATAGAAGGTCCATCCAGTGCTACTGCGTTGGAAGTAGATCAGGAAGGTCATGGAAGCCGCAATGAAAAAAACGGATTCAAAGCCCAAAACAGGAGAGAAGATCAAATAATACCTGGGCAGGATGGAAAAAGATTGGGGCCAAAACGATGTGTGCTCATGTAAGTTCATGCCCCAACAACAAGTTCATTCTCCGACATTAGGTGTGGTAAAGACCCAGACCCTAGGACCCGAACCAAGCAGAAACAGTCCTGCCAGGTGGGGCTGCCAGCTTGAGATCCACATCACTCAGTGGTTGGGACGGAAAGATGGATGTCTTTAATTGGGACTCCCCGTTTTCGATCGCCTTCAGCTCGGCTTCGGAACTCGAGAAGCTCAGGGCCTTTGATCTACATTCAGCTCGGTCTGCATGAGTCATATGAGGTGCTCAAGGTAGATATGATGTGTTTCACTTGATACATAAAGATATCATTCTAAGCCTGGAAACCCACTCCCAACCAAAAACCAGTGAATGCTTCCCCAAAAGGCCACTTCCTATGTAAAGGCTCTCAAGCAAGCCATATTGGCTTCCAACCAGTTGTTTCTGCTTGGGACTGGCTTTCCAGGCCGGTCTCTAAAACGATCTGAAAGGGTGATGTTCGAAGCTTTCTGATCACTTCTCTCCGGTCCTCTGGGGCCGGTCCTCTGACTCTTGAGACAGGTCTTGGGTGTTTCTTTGACTTGTCCATCAAGTGCAAAAAGCACGGAAAGTTTAGGAGTGTTGGAGGTGGGTACCCCTTTTCCGAAACCCGCCCGCCTTGTTCCGGCCGACAGCGGACGGTTTTTTTAAAGTCTTTTTCCTACCCACTTCCATATGCACAAGTGAAAAGAACAACGGGTTCTTCAGGGTCCATGTGGTCCTCGTAAAGATCTGATCTTGACTGCTGAGTGACGACATTGTCACAGCATCCTTCAACTTGAGCCACAGCAAAATGCTGCTTGCTAGCCTCAGTGACACACCAACCCCCCCAAAAACGCTTGATGTTCCCACTGCCCAGTCCTGCACGTCAAATAGTGTGAGCCAAGGATTTTGGGTTACAGTATATCTGGACAGATTGGACAGCAACCAAAAAAAACCTCTGATTACGAAGAAAAAAAAGACCACACCACAATAGCTGCGGAATGCTCTCACCTGACATATTTTTGTATAAATGGCTGATGGCAGGAAGACTACTCAGGGGGTGGTTCCTCCTTGGGTCACTTCGCCGAAGCTGTCGACTATCTCTCGGTGCAAAGACATCTGCACACTTTGGGGGAGACAAGACGTTGCTTGGGTTCAACAGTGTATACATACTTATTACATATTATGTATACTGTATACATTATACATATATGAGTTATATTTATATGCGGGGTGGGTATTTTAGGAGAGTAAGCCCTAACCCAGGGGTGTGGGTCTTTTTCCATCTTCCAGGCGTCCGACCTCGATCTCGGTCTCCCGTGTCTCCATAGACCCCCTTCCGTTACGGGCGACCAGAAAGCAGATCTTTAGGAAAGGGAAACCAGAAACCAATCTTCTTGGAATTTCTGTGATAGCTTCTCACCTGGGAAGATCAGTATGGCAAAATCAGTCGGAAATAGCTGAAAACACACTCACCTGGCCATTTTGTAGCACAGTCCAAGTAGCACAGAGATGCACAAGAGGCAATGGATGACTCTCACCAAGAAGTAGTTCAAGGCTCTAAGCCGTCGTTGTTTCCGGTCCTGGGTGAAAAACACCACCCGATCGCGACGGCTCTTTCGAGACCCGAGCTTCGGGGGAGGAGGTCGATCTTCGACCAGAAACAAGGTCCGAAGTTCCCCAAAACCCTGTCTGACAGGAAGGCTTTCAGAAATCCTCCGCAAAAACAGGAGACTCGCGTCCCAACCACATGTGCGTTCATGAAAAAAGATGTCAAGGCAAGAAGTGATGAAACTACAGAAATTGATTGTAATTATACATCCTTTGGTGACTGCAGGTAGATATTCACTAATCCAGAAAACAGAAAAAGGTGCAAGCAAATGATGAACAAACAGCCATTAAGTTCTCGGCTAGGGCGCCTGTTCCCTCGCCTGTTCGTACCGCTGGCAGAGATCCGCACGTGCAATCTCCAGATCCAAGAGATGCTCGCGACGTTTGAAGATGTAGAGCCTTTGTCATGGATGGGGAGTGAAGAGATGTTCACAGTGAACCTCCTATTGGATTCAAGCCAAATCCTTTGAGACTACTTGTGAGCTTAGCAAATTCTCTGGTCAAAATCCAAGAGACCTTCAGCTCTTAGTAACCCCCTGAGCCGTCCCCTGAAGGGCGATGGAAAACAAGCTGGCGGTATAGCCAGGTGGTTTCAATTCAGTCCGTGAACATTTGAGCTACACACTCATCCCATCCCATACCCAAACACTCTGGACTGCCATATATGAACACCACCCCCCACACACACACACACACACACGCACGCATAAAAATACACCAACACCCACCCCAATGTACTATATGTGTAAATATGCAAGTCCGGACGTTTTCCAACTAAGTGGTTCTTGGACACCTCCGGCGTGTTTTCTTCGTGTCCTTCGCATCCGCCATCCCCTGGTCGTCCGGGACGGGGCGAAGCGAACGCGTTGGTTGCGAAGCGAACGCGCCGTCTCATTCGAACGCTGAACCACTGAGAACGCCCAGCTTCAACGAAAGGATGAAGTGCATTCAGATGTTCAGAGGTTCAGTGGGTTGCTGGGAGAATCAAGAAGGGTTCTTCCTCTGCCCTTGGCCATGTTTGACAACCCTCAAGAAAGCGCCACTGACCAGTCTTGCTCGCGGTCCTTCAGGGTGAAGTACCACTGGTTGCCCTGTGCAGAACCGGTGGCCCTCTCTGGGCGGCGTGGCACTTCACACGAGAAAAACCGGTGCTTTCGGCACTGAAACACACTGCGAGCTTTGAACAAGTTTGACCACCCGCGAAGAACGAAGAGCCGTTCATGGAACTCCTCCCAGCTCAGCAACTGTCGTGGATGGAAATGATGATGCATTGCCATCCAAGCGAGTAGCATCGCACGATGTGTCAGAGAGGCCTCAAAAAGAATGAAGGCTCCAGAAAAACGGTCGAATCCGGAGAAAGAATCGAACTCTTTTCCGTCCAGGGTAGGCGGGTCTGAAGCTCAGGTGTGGGAATGCTTGATCTATTCCATAAGGGAATCTGGGGGGTTGGAACTTGGAACACTTGGAGCATCTCAGATGACAATGCAATCAGTCCAAAAAACATTATATAAACAAAAAACAACAGACGATCTTTGAGCTTAAATGATCAGCTATTTCTTTCATCATTCAACCGGGACGGCTTGAGTCGGCTTGAGCTCTTGAGGTACCTCGTCTACCTGGTACGTCAGTCCTGAAAGAAGGCAGCTCTGTTCCTAAATAACTCCAACCCCTTCATCCCCACGAAAACCCTCCAAACATGCGCAAACTCAAAGCGAAGACTCGTCGACCAGCTGCCCAACCAAATCAGGTGGAACTGTTTGTTTCACTTCCAATCTTACACCTAGTAACCAGCCACTCTATCCCCCACTCAAAAAAAGGTGACTTTCCACAAGTAGTAAATTACCAAACGGGAGACTTGTGTTCCTCATCTTTCAATGCCCTTTTACCTGGCCCTACGATCTAAACAAACATATCAACACATCATGGCACGTCCACCTCCCTGACCAAGCCGGCCAACGGAGCGCGCATAAACTCCTGGTAGCCAACGATCCACGTTCCCAAGCCATCCATAAAGCCCCTATCACATCCACATCTGAATCTGTCTTCCATCCCAGGTTCCCATCCTTCACCCCCCCTACGCCACGTTCAGAACTCTCATCCAACAGAGCTTGAAGAACCCTATAGACTATGTGACCCCAGGTTACGGGTCCTGCAAAAGAAGGTCACAAAAAAAACCTCTGTTGGATAAGTTGGATATACCTGGACCCTCCAAAGTACCTTAGAAAATGGAACATGACTCATGACTCCATGAAAAACAGGTACTTGTACCCATTTTCCGCAGTACTTTGAGACTCCAGGTAGACACTCTTCCTCTCCAAGCCACGCAAAAGTCGCTGCGCAACAAGGCTTGCCACAACTCTGGATGATCGGAGAGTCGACTGAAGCGCAAGCAGCTCACGCTACACGTCGAGAGCTCCGTGGCTTCCAAATTCCCCAAGACACGTGTCCAGCATTCGTCCTGAAGGAGACGAAGAGTGTTGTTAAACGCTGGGATCGCTTCGAAAACGCTGGCCGCCCGGTTCGTGGGTCACCGAGGGGTCGCTGGTTTCGTGGCGCCCCAAAAACGGATTCCGATGTGATCGACGGATGGAGGGATCGCTTCGGAGTTCGTTTCTCCGCCCGCGGGACGACATCGGATGGCCATCCGAGGTCGACCAGTCGCACGCCATGACATCAAGAGTCGACTACTCTTAGGTGTCCGCGGATGGCGGACAGGCACCCTGGATCCAACAGCACCATGCTTCGCAAGCTGACAGTCGAAACCCGGACCTGCGAGGTACTGTCAGGGTCCAGAGTCCAGCTTCGCCTTATTTGTGAGGCATTGTCAGTGTATAAGCCAACATTATGCAAAAATAAAAAGACTCAAAACATCTGTATCCAACAGCTATCCAACCTAAGAGCGATGGCCTCCAGCGATGGCCTCCGACATATGTATCCAACATGTATCCAACATTTTCCAGCATTTTGGATTTTGGATGTCTGATGTCAGAGTGTATGTAAAACCATTATCCAGCACGTCGCTGTATCACCTCGCTCTGTGGTTTTCTTCGACCACACAACGAGAAGCTCGTCGCATGGCCGAAGCGACTCTCTCCCGTCACTGGTGCAGAGGATCTGCCGATCCTGTGGATCTGCCGATGGTGGGGACTTGACACGACGTCGCTATACCCGGATCTTCCAAGTGTGCAAAATGTCTGCCTGTTCAATCCTTTCATCTAAACAACCAGCCCAAAGGTAGAGATGTGGCATATTGTGGCATAGTTGGAAGATCCTGGTATATATCCCCTACAGGGCTCCAGTCGTACCTAAGAAAGTGGGACAGGGGTGGGTCCAGGAGGATCCAGTCATACCTTCGAAGCTTCGAGGTACTGGGAGCCCCAGGGATGATATCATTCCCACATTGATGGCTAGTCCCCTCGCCATCGGGCCGAGCTGATGCTTGTTTGGGCTTTTTTGCCCATGTGAAAGCTTTGTTCCGCCGCTTCTACTGACCAGTAAGCCGTCAGAGCCGAGTCAGTCAGCCCAAAAGGTCACGCCAAGCTGCCGGGATGGGCCGGATCGAGATCGAACCGCCCTTCAGTTGCTTCCCTTCCAACTTCTCACCACTCGCCATGGCAGTGCTGTGTGGCGATTCTTCGCCGAGCAAGACGGGCAACGATGTGCGGGAGGGGATGTACATCGGATGCGCGGTGTGCTGTGTCGTCTTTGCGCGTGAACAGTGGTGTGGAAAGAAACGACCAAACTGCACGTCGCTGGAGGTGATGTGCTGCAAAGATCTGTCTTGACATCAACTCTTCTTTGGACGTGTATGAGGGGCTGGTGAAAAATGATCCCTTATTCTGACGTCCAGGTTGGAGTAATAAAAGAAACATCATCTTCTTGGAAAGAGACACTCCTGCAGGTGATCCCAAACAAGCCTCTCAGTCGGATTTTCACGAGTCGTCAGGGAGAAACTGGTCTCGCCACAACGACCGAGGTGAGGTCATGTGAAGTGCCACCCCAAAAACAACTCACTTTTGGAGCAGAATGAACAAGGATTTTTCTGCAACCGCTGCGGCTGTCGCAAAGAATCAAACACATTCAAGAACACCAGAGAGCTCATTTGCTTCCCTAATACGAACCAATCAATAAAGCTCGTCATTATTGTTTTGCGATCCAGACACGGAGCCAGGGTCCATGCTTTCCGCATGGAATGAGCGGGGCCAACCGGAACATGAGTCAGAGTGTAAAAACACATGCCTTCTGAGTCTTCCAGAGTCTTTGAAGGGTTGAAAGCCACTTGACTCATTTCATACCTAAGAAGAAATCGAAGCAGCTCGACTTGAGCAACGTTCTCGCATCGATGGCAGAAGTCGACGTCAGAACCCTCAGTCTGACTGTCTCTGATTCATTTGTGACTTTTTGGGGTGCTGAGGTCAACTCTCCAGATGGACGCAACAAACAACACGATAGATTCGATAGATTCCTGGTTCTTCAGTTCGTGACCGTACTTGATCACCTGGTTGGTTTGAGGTCACTTATATAAGCCTCCGAGTAGGGTCACCGGATGGAACCTTCGGAAGGTCACGAATTGAAGAAGCTGGTTCTTAGTGTTACATTGCACTATAAATTCTACGGTACATGTACCGTGTATCATACATTGACCTCAGAAACTGCTTTCCCAACTCTTTACCAGCATGTTCTTGCTGTCCGTAAGAAAGAACCCATCTGCAAAACCACGACGTCCTAGTCTTTGTCTTTTGATCTCCAAGACAAACTGGTTCACTTGAAATCACTTGAATTCACCACTGTTTTCCTTTGGTGAAATCAGGAACACAATGACCTGAAACAGGGACTTCCGAATCGAAAAAAAAGTTCGGCATTACGAGGCCTTTGTCATCTGAACAAGAAAGGTCTGAAAGGTCCGCCGTGTGATGATACCTTTCTTTAAAAAGTGTTTATGGTCGATTTACTTGACGATGGTGGAACAGATGTGGTTTTGGGTGATTGCTTGAGCATCCAGCTTAACCCAAGAATGGAGGCTACATCTGACCAGCTGTTTTGGGGAACACCCACACCAGTCCTTCATCTGATTCTTTCGGCTTTCACAACGAGGCATGAACATCACCACCCCCAACAACAATATGCAAATCAAGCGCCACCAAACAACATCTGCCACGATTTTCAGTGTTCTATACCTTGACCCCCCAAAAGGGGTGGTTAATGGACACCCCGAATAAGGGCCTTATAGGGGCTATAAATAGACACCCCACGGTGTCGGGTCCTGGTATGAATCACGGTACGATGTTCCAATCGATCGATGCATTTCAGCCGCTGTGTTTCAGCCCATGGGCCGGCCGGCCGCGGCCGGGTGATGTGAGCTCCTCGGATCAGACCAGCTCAAAATCAATCACCAAAGGGAGGTGATCGCTCGCACTATCATGGTAAACTCCCACATAGGTCACGCGCAGCCTGCCGTCGGCACGCCGGGAAAGCTTAGCAGCTGGTCGACCAGCTGTGCTTGTGAAAAAGCTGGACGAATTGCCAAGAAAGGACGAAGATCCAGATGTACAAGTACATATGTTGACCTGAAAATATTTGCAGTGTGGACAATGGATATCCACGAGTAGTGTAGGGAGGAGACCCCCGTAAGGAAGGTGTTAGTTGTGCGATCTCCTGTGAGGGAAGAACTCATATAGTGATTTTGTCTTAGTTTTATAGTGTTTCTTTGGAAATCCACTCCATCACAAGCCATTCAAATGTACGGCGTGAGCATTCAGCTATATAAGAAGGTCTGTTGGCTGTTGACCAAAAACAGAAGACGGAGCACCGTCCCAAAACAGCTTCAAGTAATTACCTTCTGAAAAGGTGGGGACTGGGGTAGGTGCCAAGTCCCAGGGTCCAGTCATACCTTCGAAGCTTGGAGGACTTGGAGTCCAGGATGCCTTCAAGCTTCCGAAAGGACTTCGTTTCTCCTGCAGGATCGACGCGGTCGCACCCGATCGACTCGAGCGCCCCATGCCCAAGAACCCCCTTCGCGCAGATACCCCGCCCCGTGCGCCGTCGCACCTTCGGTGGGTCTTCCTCAGCGTCGGGTCCCGAGATCGAAACGGCTTGGCGTTCGGTTGGGTCTTTCGTTCCCAGCATACCATTGGTAACACCACGTGCGGGCATCGCATCCAATGTGCGACAAGCAAAGCCCATACGCGCCTCTTAGTGTACTGTGACACTGGGTATGAAGGGGGTACCAGCATACCTCGGCTTTTACCAGCAATCTATGGGTGAATACAGCATAGCATGGATTCCCGGCCGGCACTTTAGTGCCATTTCCCCCAACTTGGAGGGTTGTCTCATGCGCCCTGTACAGCTGACATTCGGGAGCGTATGGGAGCTAATTCGACCCAACATCGTCGCTGAAAGCCTGCGATGTTGAAGGCCGGAGACAGGACTTGCAGCCCCAGACCAAGAATCGGGGGTTTCTCAGATTGTCTATTCCTGAACATGTCCTAAATCTTGGATCCATGCTATTAATTATACTGGTAGCAGTGGATGAATGTGGATGATGATGGCTAGTGAAGCAGGCCTTTCTTCAAGAAAAAGTGATCCTCTTTGACCCTTCCTGCTTTACTGCGAAACACCTCAAATCGCCATCCCCCCCTGAAAGCCCACCCAGCTGGATGATCACCGACGTCGTGTGCGGATACGCCGAGGCTCAGAAGGCAGTGATCAATCAGCTGTCCACTCCAATGACCTCTGAATGAAAGAATGGCGAGGACCATTGGGCGGCTTGGGAAGGGCCAAGGGCACTAGCAGCTGCTGCTACTCCTCCTACTGCGATAGTTGCCACCGCTATATACTACTTCTATTCCTACTTCTGCTACTACTGCTGCTATATCCAGCTGCAACCAGGTGATGTCTTATATTTATATATTAGACAAATTGTTCAGAACTGGTGCTCAAAACTCTGAAACTGCTCTCGCGGAAGGCCAAATAATTATCATGCTTTGGGCAGTGATCAAGAATTGGTTCAAGTTGATTCCATGTCGGCCTCAGGCGGCCTCAGGCGTGTCATGTCGGGTCACCGTGTGTCGAACGGCGAATCACGGGTGTCCCACCGTCCCGACTCGTTGCTGCCGAGCGGGACACCGCCCTGCCGAGCGCGGTGGGGACACCGGAACGAGCGGAAAATATCACTTCGATCTCGTCCGATCACCCAACGATCCGAAGAAAAGTGACTTCATCTTTTGGAAGAAAGGCTCCGAACTGTGCATGGAAAAGGACCTGAAAGGACTTCCTGTTGGACTTTCGTCGGACTTAGGTCTCATCTTTCTCGACTTCATCTTTCGTTGGAAAGAGTTTCACGCTGCTCTGCGTCTTCGTCTCGCGTCTTTCCAAAACCCAGTTTTCTCAGCCTCAAAGAAGGACAAAGTCCAGCAGGTGGTGATCCCAAAATAGAAAATTGAATTCATGTTTTGTGTAAAGTAAATTCACAGAATGTACAACTCTACACTTGCGACATGTTAAAGTAATAGTATAATATACAATATTACATCAAAATACGTAACTTGTGAAACGTCAATGCATGTGAAAATTGTTTTGTAATTTAGTTCGGAAATGTTCGGAACATGTTTGTTCATGAACACTCTTCACTCCTTTTCAGTCCATGCATATCAAAGATCTTCCAAGTTTGGGAAAGATTAGATGGATTCCGCCTCAACACTGGGGTTATGTACCCGAAACTCCAAAAACTTGATGAACCTTGTAGCACCCCCAAAGTGCAAGAAACATTCCACATGCCAAGATGCTGTAGTAAGGTGCATGAGGAACATCAAGCGCCTGCCACGCATGCCTGCGCAACAAAAGCAATGCTTTGAGTCTGACGACTTGGAGCATGCTTTGCTTTGAGTCTGCTTTGGGACCCGGAATGGAGGCGATGTCATGTGGGCACTGCCTGTAGCCGAGCTTCTCAGCAAAGCCCAAGGCGGTCATCTCCTCATGAGTGCAGGCGGAGAAGCCAAGAGATGCCAAGAGACAAGCTCAGGTGTTAGTGAATTAGTCGTAGATCGTCTATGTTTGGGGTGGGCACCCACTACCACTATGAGGTTTTTCAATGTGTTCATTGTATCCTCCTCAGTGGCTTCCTGGAAAGGTGCTGAGGTCGCCAGAATTCCCCTGTCGCAACGACGCGCTCAGTGTCGAGCCCGTCCCTGGGTCCTCCGGAATTCGCGGTGAGTCCCTTGGAAGGAAATGTCGAAGTGCCTGGCGACGTGGTTCGCGTCATGGGTGACTGGGCGGTCGACCGAGTGGTCGAGCGGTCGACCGAAGGTAAGACCATGTGAGCTGAGAGTCATCCCAAGTTCCTAAGCGAAAAAGCGCACACTTTGAGGCACAGCCAGTGCCTCAGGGTCAGGTTTCATGTGATTTTGTCTGCTAAAGTCAAGGATTCTCACCCAGTCAAGGATTCTCACGGAATTCTCACGCGAAAGGGTCTTTGTTTTCATGTCCAATTTCTCCAAGAGATGATGGTCTCCTGTCAACATCGGGATACGACTGTTGAAAACCAACCAAACTGAGGTATAGGTGTTTTGAGTTCACCTTTGTATGGAGAGTTACACTCAGACTTTCCAGCGTTGGTCTAGCAGAACTCGTCCAAGAAACTCACCTCTCAAAACAATCATGCAATCTCCTTGATCTTCCAAGTG